ACACCTGTAAAAATCATATGGATTAAATCAGATTTTAAAAAAATGCAGTAGCATTTTTATAATTAATGTCAATTTCATTTTGCAAATGTGAATACTTAAATATCTAAATCTAGATAATTTTAAAAAAATTAATAAAAAAGCTAAATTTTAAATCTAAACCATAAATCTTATATTCTAAGCGGTAAAAAGTGAACCACTAAACCAAATAAAATTAAAAATTCAGTTATAAACTCTAAAATCGAAACTTTAAGTGCAATGCATTCTCGAATTTTTGCAAATGCAATCTTTTAATACTAAATGTACAAAATATTAATACTAAATGTGCAATATGTTAATATTAAATTTGCAAACTTGAAAAATTCTGAGAAGTGCAGATTTTAGTATTCAAGTTTGCATAGGAAAGTTGGTGATAATTATGAAAATGCCACAGTGTTTTATTTTTAAATTTGATTTTGTCGGTTTGATTTTTCTAGATGTAAAGTTGAGATTGTTCTTAGTTGCCTCCTAAGAACTTTTATGTGTGTGTGTTAAATTTTTGGAATGCTACTGACTCTATTATAATGTAGTATTCATAATTATTTTCTTAACTTACTGAAGCACAAAGAGTCAAATACCACATCTAATGAGACTCGAACGCACAATCTCTCATAAAATAAAATTAGATGCTATAAAATATAAAAGAGTAAATACCCAAAATAGTCCCTCGACTATAGCTAAATTCACAAATTGGTTTTTGACTTTCAATTTCAACCAATTAAGTCCTTAACTTTGTAATTTTAACACAATTTGGTCCTCTGTCTATTTGACCGTTTGTTGGTTGTGATTTTTGAGGATATATATGCGATTTCATGGTCCATCGTCGATTTTTTAAGATTCTGGTTGCATTTCCAGACCGCACTGTTACATTTAAATCCACTGCCAAAAAGCAATCTACTAAATCCAGTCGCCTTTCTTCATCCTCCCTTTGGATTCAATGTAGTTGAGTTCGTACCAGAGCGAAGAAGACGACGTGTTTCCAAACCAGTGCAACGTCATCCTGGAGGCCTCCACGTGCTTCGACGAGAGCTGAAGGTTCTTCTGGAGATCGTTGATCACGGTCAACAAACGGTCAAATAGATGAAGGACCAAATCGTGTCAAAATTACAAAGTTAAGGACTTAATTGGTTAAAATTGAAAGTCAAGGACCAATTTGTGAATTTAGCTATAGTCGAGGGACCATTTTGGGTATTTACTCAATATAAAATTTATTCCATATAATGTTATCTTAGTGGATAGACTTTTAGTTAGTTGGGTGATTAACGAAGGAATATTTGATGACAATTCAAGTGGACTTTTAGATAATTATATGAATTTATGATCCAAGGAATAATATTTCCAAATATATTTAAATATCAGGTGTTATATTTTCTTCCCTCAAAGTCCTTTTCTCACTCTTTTTTCTATCCACACGAAATCTCTTTGGAATTACAAAATACAATAAAAATGTCCAAAACACACTTTTGTTCAAGACAAGGTACAATAATTTTACCATCAGATCGTTATATTATACAGAGTAAATCACTGACATACATGTTAATTTTTAGTATACTACATGTATTGTATTGCAAATTAATTTTTTAAAGTATTGATAGTTATCATGATTTATTTTTTTACAATCCTATCGAGTCTGGACTTGAGGGTCCTGATAAGCGCAGGTCTTTACTTTTGAGGGAGAAAAATAATTTTTAGTATACTAAAAATAAATATTTATCAATTATTCACCTTACAATATGGACCATGCATAGTTCACAGTATAATTTGCCATGATTTTATGCTTTTCAAAAATTATTATTCTATGTGAATTCTGTAATGTTCATAATCGTGGGAACACAAATCTCGACACAGATAAAATGGTAGCGAATAATGACTCTGGACAACTTAGCTTCGAGACTTTGGTTAATCAAAACATTTTATACTTGTACGCAATGCATTATATACCTTTTAATGTTTTATACTCAATTCTAATTAAGTTAGGTACATGTAATTAAGTATTTTTCCGTGATCGCACGGACTAAATATTAAAAATATTGTTATTGTGTTATAGTGAGATAATTATTATAATTACTTTAAGTTCTTTATGGTAGACTTAATTTAACCATAATAAATATATACATGAATTTAAATTTTAAATTAAAAACCAAAAATTATTATTAATTAATAAAAAGTAAATTGAATATTACACATTATTTAAAACTTCATGGTAAACAATGTTAGTAGTTGAAGTACTAATGGTATTCGGGTCACTACATATTAATATTTTCAATCCAGTTAGATTGCTAACTCTAGAAGCTAAGCAACGACGTACAATTGACCATGAACAAAAATATGTTACTTTAGAAGCAAGCCAACATGTGATCTGGTAGTGTTTGCCCTTGAATCTTAGCTTATTAATGATCATTGCATATGACAACATTAAAGAGAATTGTCTTCTTTGAATTTGAAAGGTAGTCTAGGATCTGATGGTGTCATGGTCATACGGGGAACCAAAACCTTAGTGCATGTATTGCTACCAATTATTATCTTTGCTTCAATTACATGATCTACTAGTTTAGTGATAACCAATCTAGTGCCATTGCATAAACCAAATGAAATGGTCTATGTTCCTCAACAACATTACAAGTGAACCAACTTTTAACGTCAAGGAATGATTGGGTACACTTGGCGCTTTTATACCATTTAGGAACCCTGGCGTGTAGTGCACATCAGCAAGGATTCCACTGCGTGCTTGAATTTGATTTGCAAACACTGTCACAACTTAAGTACGTTCTGCTTTCAGCAATATGCAAGGCACTCATATATTCATTAATAGAGTTAACCACATCAAGTGTTGGTGCTAATATAGCCCGACCTTCAAGAAATCTAATATCACACTTACCATTAATGAACATAGGAAATGTACTTTCTACAATCGTGAAAATTGGGTCTCCATTACATGATAATAACATATCGATCATCTGGGATAGCCCACCAACTGTTCCATCACCTATGGCTGCAATCCAATTTACAAAGTCCTCAAACATATCAACACCAGGACCACTCCTATTTAAGAGAAGGTTTTTGAAAAGAGAATAATTTTTCTTTAATAGTGGTAGATAATCAACTTAGTGATATTTTGTTGAATACTGTGAATTCTATTACAATGTAGTATCTGTTCATAGCTACTTTTTCAATTTACTGAAGTACAAAGAGTTAATATTGTCCCCACTAGGACTCGAATTCATGACCTCTCATTTGGGAGAGCCACAAAGTGTTATTTCAAACTGATTTATATTATCCTAGGAAGCAAGGCAAGTGAGGTAAGAGCTATGCACTATCCATATCTTCCAAGTTACCTTTACAGAACTACTTTAGGAGTTTAGGTGATGTTTTATTATTTTGGATTGTGATAAATTAAAGCTGATGCCAGATACATGGCATAAATAATTCATTTCCAATTATTGTAATTATGTTTAGAGACTTAAGATCATATCTTAACTGTTAAGATGCGCATAACTATATATATATATATATATATATATATATATATATATATATATATATATATATAAAGTAACATTGATATTACTCCACAGTACAATAAAAAAATAAGTTAACAAAACTGTATTTGTACTAATATTTTTCTGTACAATACAAACTAATTTAATAGTATACATAACGTAACTATCTTTCTAAAAGTAACATTGATATTACTCTATAATACTCCGTACAATAAAAAATAAGTTAACAAAATTGTATCCGTATTCTATATACCATACAATACAAACTTGGTTTAGAAAATCGAACACCACCATCAATCCCAACATAAGTGTTCGGCAACAGACGCGCAGACATGGCTCAGCACGGCTGTGACCAATTTGGAGCCATGTCGGGCGAGGTTCGTCGACCTCAAAGACATTGGCAACATTTTGCCGGCCGTGACGTCAAATAACGTGTTGTATTTGATCAGCAACACTTTGCCGTTAACAAAGAATTCACTGCAACCAACAACAACGAGGCAACATGGTACACTGAAGGTTTCCCTAATTGGTTAGGCCCGGTTTCAGTGTACCATGTTGCCTCGTTGTTGGTTGCAGTGAACCCTTTGTTAACAGTCAAAGTGTTGTTGATAGGGGTGTTCATTCGGTTAACCGAACCGAATTAACCGAAATTTTTTTTGTCTTAATCATTAACCGAACCGAAATGCGCTCTACCGAATTAACCGAACTGAACTTTTTTTCGGTTAACCGAAATTTTTAACCCTAAAATTGAAAATACTAAAAATAACTCCTAAAATAATAAATTCAATTAAAATAAAATACATATCATAATAAATTCATATCAAAACATACAAAAATAATACCATAAGTCCATAATCCATTTGACTATTTGGAATTTTAGTACATATTATATATTTATATTTAATATTTAATATATTATATATATATTCCAAAATTCGGTTAACCGTTCGGTTAATTCGGTTAACCGACACTTTCGAACCGAATTAACCGTTAACCGAATTTTGGGAAAACCTTTAACCATTCTCCGAACCGAAATATTTCGGTTAAAAAACGGTTAACCGAATTATGTCGGTTCGGTCGGTTAACCGAAATTTCTCCGAAATTTGCACACCCCTAGTTGTTGATCAAATACAACACATTATTTGACGTCACGGTCGGAAAAATGTTGCCGGTGACTTCGAGGTCGACGAACTCTGCGCGACACATCTCCAGGTTGGTCACAGTCATGCTGAGCCATGTCTACTCGTCCGCGGTCGAACATTTAACGTTTGGATCCACGATGTTGTCGATTATCTGAAACATATATGCTTTTCAAAAATTCTATGTGAATTTTGCACTTGATATTATAATGTTCATAATCATGGGAACACGAATTTCGGCACAGATTAAATGGTAGCGAATAATGACTCTGATCATCTGGACAAATTAGCTTGGAGACTTTTGCTAAGCAAAAACATTTTTAACTTGTAGGCAATGCATTATATATCTTTCAATGTTTTATACTCAATACTAATTAAGTTTGGTACATGTAATTAACCTAACTATTGTAATAACTGTTATTCAAGATAAAAGCTAAGGAAAAGACAGAACTGCCCTCCATATCCTTGTTTATTCATTTCCATCTTCCCACCCTATCCACAGTAACACTACTTCCCAAGCTCACCTGCACATATAACAACAGTCATAGAACAGCCCCCTTTATAAAGTTGAACAGAAATTCCGACCAACTTTCCGTCCATCAATTTTTAGGGACATGAAGTTAAAATTTTTATTAAAGTATCGACCAATATTCGGTTGAACGGAAATGTTGGATGAAAATAGCGAAATTTCCATTTGTGTTAGCAGAAATTAAGGATATTTACAAATTTCAAGTTGACATGTTGTACGTCCAATGGTGGTGGGATATTTAGTGTTGAGCATATAATATTTAAAGTACAAGTCGGAAAATTTAAATTGCATGTAAGACATTTTAAATAATTTTTAATGCGCATTAACATGTAATACTTTGTATTTTGTTGAGTTATACTATATACTTAAAAGAACAAAGTACAATCTATCATTGTACCGTCACTATCCGAAAATGCATACCCAGTGAAATCCATTTTGTGATCTTAGTTGTAAAGGAGTTAGGTTACTCATAACTATAACTCAAACTAATAAAGTCATTAGATAGTATAGATATATAGCTACCCACGAAAAGTCAAATTTGAAACTATCAAGTAAATTTACTAGGATAATAAATGTAGAATTAATTTATGTTAAGAAGAGAGGAGGGGCTCACACGGTTCAAAGTTGGCAGTGCATTTATCTGGAAGCTGCAAAGCCATGTTCCGATCGACGCCGATGATGGGAGGGCCATTGACGACGGCGCAAAGGCAGGGCTGGCCGAGAGACCTGACGGCGGCGCAGCAAGCCTCGGTGGGCGGAAACGGCCTGAAAGCGGAGACGGCGGGCCTGCAGGGTAAGAGCTGAATAATGGTGGAGACAAAAGTGGAACCGCAAGGGGCGGCCTTGCTTTCCCACACCAGACTCGCCATTACCACCAACCACAACACCATTAACCACACCCAACAATAACTCTCCTGCCAGAGCTTCTTCATTTCAATTCCTATACTAGCAGCTAATTAATTAAGGTTGTCTGATCTGATCTGCCAATTCAAAACCTCTGATAGATCGATCGTACCAAGTATATGGGGATGTTGAAGTGCCTTATCAGAGTTGATTTGTGGAAATATATAGCGGAGATTGGAGTATGTAGGCCGGTGTGCTGTTTCGTGCTGCCGTCCTAACTCCCAGTCATGCTCAGTTTGCTTCACTGGGCATGAATTGCATGCATGCATGTCTCCGGTGCAGTTCAACAAAAGTTTTATGAAATGGCCGGCAACTATAATCCACCTTAATTGGACCCCAATCCCTAGAATTCCAAAATCTTAGGATGAACTAAATCACGAGATAGGTATAGGTAAGTGCTTCAAATCAACAACTATCTGAAGGTGCGTTCAGGGTGAATGTCGACCTAGCTGCAAAAGACCACAAGCAGGTAAATCAATCTATATATATATATGCAGATTGAGAGCCATGATATACTAGAGCCAATTCATTTCCTTCTGCCATAGGTGGCCATGGCAGATTTGTTGCAGTTTTCATTCTTTAATTTCCAGTTCATCTCTAATGAACTCAACTTCAATTCCTGCTCAACCCCCTCCAACAAATTCACATTTTCTTCCAACAAAAGAGTAATCTTGTCAAGAACTAACGCAACCAAACAATCCGCCACATCTATTTCTCCCCTCGGGTTTCCCTTTCTTGCTTAGCTTAACACAGATTTTCAGCTCTGAAACACCATTTCCTGACATCTAGAAGCAAAGAAAAGACATTGACTTGATGAAAGCTGCAGGTTGACTTTCTGCTAGACTTAGAAAAGTTCTACCCAAATGATTTTCCATCAGTTGTTAGATGAATATATAATCACAACTTGAACCTGCTCCAGAAAGGGATTTCAGAACTTCAAAGATATAAACAAAGATTTGATAAGAGAAACATGTCATTCTACATAAGTTAAAACGAAGTAAAATAAAAAGTTTCAAAATTGACAAGAAAACAAGAACTGCAGACTGAATACCGTGATTTATCATTTACTTTATGCCACAAACTTTATGCTAATTTTATAGTTAAAGTTGTTTCCCTCTAAACTTATTTCAAGCTCAAATAAAACAGATATACATCTAGAATGAACTTCACTTTCACTAAAACCGAATTGTGTTTTCATTCTACATAAACCTAGTGTTTTCATTGGTGCACAAGAGGCATTAGATTCGTGCAATCTCCACACCAGAAGTACAAGATTCCTCTTTGAGCAACAAATCTCTTAGATTAAACACTACTATATATAAGAACTGAAAAGATATATCAAATTCAATTGAAGTGAGACTATAAGCTGAATTGCAAAAGCAAAATCAATTACTAGCTAGAGCCATTTCCTTTGTTCATATGTGTTCATGGCAGATTTGTTGCAGTCTTCCTTCACCTGTGTATCCTCGAGTGAGTAAACCATCCATCGACCTTCCTTCCAATACGCGTAATAAACCTCGGGAATGTGTGCAATTCTGCAGTGATCTAAGCCTCGTCTATCAGGAAGAAATGTCTCTACAAAGTCTTCTGGCATGTCTATGAACTCAAGGAACTTCATGTTTACCTGGCGTTCGATTCCAGCAGGCACTCTCTCCAGAGAGTTGCATCTTCTAACGACTAGCTTCTCAAGAAGAGGAACTGAACCTACCTCCATTGTTACAGATCTTAGGCCTTCCAATCTGTCGAGATCTAACAGTCTCAGCTTCTCAAATTTCCCAGCCTTGAAACAAAGCGTCTCCCCAACATAACACCTTAGAAACTCAATGTGTACGAGGTTTGGTAAGTCTTGGAGATATTCTAGCGGATTCTCCATTAAGTGGCTCCACTGGAAATATACTTTTACTAGGCCTTTAAGAGTCGGTACCCAATGTGGCACCTTTTGTAAGCAGCCCTTCAGATATAGCCGCTGAAGAAAGCGTGGAGGAGAAGACATGAAGCTTAGATCAAGGATTTCACATCCTTCCAGTGATCTTATGCTTAAAGATCGGAGCTTTTCGATACTGGAACACAATGTTTCACTGTCTTCCCTTCTCAACTTTGTAATGCTAAGTCTCCTCAGATCAGTCATCATCCCGATTTCTCTTATAATGCCACTGCCATGGTTTAACTCAATGAAACTGAGTTTCTGTAAACGTGACAAACCTCCTATTCCCACTGGTGCCTTAAAACCGTGCAAGTGTTCAAATGGCTCGAAAGATGGATATGAGTACTGCCCGTGGTAATACACTAAAAGTTGGCGAATAAATTGAAGTTTGAGAATCTCGACTGGCAGTTCAGTAACCAAAGTCTGTTTAAGATCCAAGATTTCAAGATTTTGGAGATTCTTGATAGATCTGGGAATCATCTTTATTCCCGTACTTCTCAAGCTCAAGTATCTTAGATGAAGCAGTTTCAGAATTTCTTTTGGGAAAATTTCTAGAGGAACTCCTCTGAGATCTAAAACTTTCACCATCTTGCAGCTACTGAGCAACTGGACTGCACAAGATGTTGATTGGCTATCTATTACATCAAATGTAAGCAAAGACCGGAGCCTGGCAACATACCTTTTATTCGGTACACCTCCAAAAGTGCCATGAACTGATAGGCACCGAGCTTTGTTTGGCCATGTAGTGATATGTTCATTGACAGTTGACACGAAATTATGATCTCTAGATTTCGAAACAGCAATCTCCCGATAGAAGTCGTGGATGTGGCCTAACTTGAGGCTTCCATCGTCGTTGCTTTGGATGGCACGGATCAAGCTTCTGTTGATGAGTTCGTTAAGATAGCCATCTGCAACTTCTTCTAGTGTCCTCCCCTCTCTCTCTTTCACGAACCCTTCGGCTATCCACAGCCGGATCAGTGTGTTGTGCTCGATCAAATGATTCTCCGGAAAGATGCTCATGTACAGAAGGCATGGCTTTAGATAGAAAGGAAGCTCTTTGAAACTAATCTGCAAAATGACTCTGATACTCTCGAGTCTGTCATTTGCTTCCAATTCAAAGCCGAGGTGGCGGTTGAACACCTGCCACTCCTCGATATTGTTCTTGTTCTTTGAAGTCAAGACCCCGGAAATGGCTACAATTGCTAGTGGCAGTCCCCCGCATTTTTTTAAGATGTTTTTGGAAATTTCTTCCAAGTGTGAGGGGCAAGCAGTAGCACTCTCTTGAAATGTTTTACGAGAAAACAGAGTCCACGACTCTTCTTCTGTCAGAGGCTTGAGCTCATACTTATACCCGTTGGATTCTAGGATAGAATAGGAACCCACATCATTGATTCTAGTCGTTAGAATCACACGGCTTCCATCGTTTTCATTAGGCAATGCAAGCTGAATAGATTGCCAAACTGCGATAGCCCACACATCATCAAAGACGATTATGTATCTTCTCCCAAGCAGGAATTCTTTTGCTACTTCTTTCAGCCTAATAGCATTCATGGTATTCAGTCCTTCAGGAAGCGATTTCTTTACTTCATCAAAGAGCTGTTGAACTAAGTCCTTGAGAACGTCCTCGATCTTGAAAGACTCGGAGACAGTTATCCAAGCATGGCTGTGGAAATGTTTCCTCACTGTGGCATCATCATAAACTTTCTTAGCCAAAGTGGACTTCCCCAATCCTCCCATCCCAACAATCGAAACAACTTTGAGCCCGGAACCCACCTCCAAAAGCCAGCCAATTACTTGTCTTTTGCGGCCATCAATGCCAACAAGCTCACATTCTTCGAGTAGAAGTGCATCACCTCTACAATCAGTCGCAAAGCTGTTGGCAGGTGTCAAGCTTGAACCTTGGTCCGGGACATTAAACTTGAAACGATATCGTTGATGTCTCTCAGAAATATTGCTCACTCTTGATTTGAGGCTTTGAACTTTGGAAGCAATAGCCAAGCGAGCTCGCAGTTTACTGATTTTGAGACATAATCTGGCAAGGAAATTGAAGGGTTGATATTGAGCACAAATATTAGTCTGATGGAGAACAAACTGATCAAGAGTTTCCTCAATCTCATAGGCTGCATCTCGTACTTGCTTAACCCACACTTTGAGTTCTGCATCTTTCTCTTCCATGGAATCCGCTACTCCAAGGAAAGCTATCATTCTTTCCAGTTCATCTCTGATGTACTCAACTTCCTCCTTGACTCCCTTCAATAAATTCACCTTTTCTTCCAATAAAAGGGTAACATTCTCAAGAATAAATTCAATTAAATAATCTCCCATGCATACATTCATCTATACTCAGGTTTTTCTTGTCTTCATGAGGGGTTTCTATTCTGAAGTTATCAACAAGGCGATATAGCAACTTATGCATCAATTCATACATGAACATATAGACTCTAGAGGCAAAGAAGAAACACTGATTTTGTGAAAGTGTGGTGAGATTTCTTAATAACTTTCTAGGATGTGAAGACTGAAATTTCAGTAAAGATAGGAAATTGCCATGCAAATGAACTTCTGTTAGGTAGATGAAGATAGAAAGCCAACCCAAAGTCTGCTTTGACATCATAGTTTATGCATAAAGCTATTTGAAAATTCAAATAAACCAATAGTATAAGACAACAAAACAAAACTAAAGATTAAAGAACTCAACTGAGAAGGGTCCTGGCTGTCAACCAACTTGAATGGGTGGCAGAAGACTATATGAAAGACTGAAGAGCTTAATCCTCATTGGCACTGAGAGAGGAAAAAAAAACTGTGAATACAAGGTGTTACATCAATGTTGACCAGCAAACTCTTCTTTAATAAGTTGGAGCAAACCTGCATTTTTAGTGATAGAATCACCAGTTGGATACACAAAGTGGCAGTATTAGATACATCATGTTCTTGAAATCTTTTATCAGATACTTGCTATATATGGCACCAGAACATATTCACACCACAGCAAACTCTCTTGCCCGGGCGAAATTCTCTTGGCCCGGGCCCCACACCCCGGTCTGACAGGATAGTGGAGGATAAATTACAATGACTAGGTGGGGAGGACCTTGTCTAGTGCCTACAAGAGAATCCGGCCCGACAGGAGTGAAGGATAAATTACGGTGACTCAACGATTTATTAGGTGGAAGGACCCGTGTGTCCACAAGAGAGCCTATCACATTGAGTGTAACTCCCAGACTGACTGCAGCTGTCGGGAGCTGCACAAAATTCTTTGTTTGTCCTAGCCCTATCCAAGGCTAGACATTAAGCAGGCTACTCAATGAAGAAAATAGTCATAAGCAGAGTAATTATGTACTTAAAAAGAGAAAGAACAACAAAACAAATCAAAAATTACCTGCAGATTAGCAAGAACACGACATTGCAGAGTTTGTTAGGAATGGACCATTCCTTCCTTCGGAAAAAAGGTCATTTTTTTGGACCAAATCTTTCAATTATGCTATTTTTGTTCATCCCAAACATGTACAATATTGGTTTTGTGCATTGCGTCATGTGTGGTGTATGCCGTGTAGAAGGGTGAAAACCAGACATGGAAAAATGAGTTTTTTTTTATTTGCCTTTTGTCTGCTCCGGCGCATGGGAAAAGAAGGAAGAAAAATGGCACTTCCTCTTTGACGGGAAATAGAGGAAGAGTGGAAGACAAGGGGAATTATTTTCTATGCTTAATATCATTTTGTCTCTATTGTTACTAGTAAGTATGCCGTGCGTTGCATGGACTATTATTAATTTAACAAAATAAGTAAATTACACTTTTGGTCCTATAACTATATGGGATGTATAATTTTTGTTTCATGACTTTTAAAATTAACAATTTAGTTCTTTAATTATGTTTTTTTTAGCAGATTTGGTCCTTCCAGCCAAATTACTGGTGAAAATTGGCCAGAAAATTTTAAACCTTTTTTAATTTGTTATTCATGAGGGCAAAATAGTCTTTTTATGTAAGCTGTTTATTCTTCTTCGCGTTCATGAGTTACAGCTAACAGTTGTCTTTGCTTCCAAGAAAGAACAGCTCCAAGAATCGAAGCCCCAAGTTCAGAAGCAAGGTATGATTTTTATCCTCAGTTTTTTCTTCAAGCCTACTGCACATTTCTTGATTCATCTTCCCCAAATCGCACGGTATAAAGCTCTCTATAAGAGATCTAAACTCCCAAAAATATTCTTCTCCCAATTCTAGTCACCACCATCCTCCCGATTCCATCCACGACCAACACATAAGTGTAGTACTGGTTGTGGTCCTGTGGATGATGGTTTATTTATAGTGTTGAAGTAGGTGTAAATGTTCATGTAAATATTGATTCTGAATTTTAAAATTTATCTCCAATCAATTATTGCAATGTTAATTCTCAATTATGGATCAACAATTATTACTCAAATTAATTTTGTGAATTACTCCCATATCCACTAAAATCTTTTTGCTTATTATTCACTTTAATTTTCTTTTCATCTTTATTTAATTATTTATGATGATTATGATTAGGAAATAATTTTCCCTAATCATTTTGCTTTAATTAATATATATAGAGATAGAGATAGAGAAGAGAAGAGAAGAGAAGAGAAGAGATATAATATATAATATATGTAATATTTTATAAATTAATGATAGAGGCATGTTATGTTGACATGTTGATGTTGATTTGATTTTCAATTAAAATTACATAAATTTATAAAGTAATGTGAATATAATAAATGCTTTTACACTTTGAAGAGAAAATTTATTTCCTAATCACTTTGCTTTAATATATATAGAGAAGAGCTTCATTTTCTATATCTGATCTTGACATCAACAGTGGATAGTTTGTTGGGGAGCTTGAGAGTTTTTGCCTTAATTTTCTTTGCTTTCTTGTTATATTTTACTTAATTATTTGTTTTCGCTTTTCAAAAAACTAAGTCAATTATTATATAATGTGACGACATTTCGATTATCATTTCAAATGAGTGATCTCACAGATAAGGATCTATAGTCTCGCAAAGTGGGACCCTTAAGTAAAGATTTGAGGGACTAATTTGACTATCTTATACTTAAAAAACTAAATTTACAAATACAATAAAATAATTGATTAAATTGCATATTAGTCAACAATTAAGAGACCAAATGTGTCATTATCGATATTGAATTGAATATATAAAAACAAGTTAACTTTGTCCACAAAGGTAAAATTTCATCGCCCCTAGAGCATCATGATTAAAACTGAAATATGTAATATAAACATGTTTGGTTTAAGAGTTACTTTTTATGTTATAATGATTTTTTAAATATCTTTAACATATTTTTATGTATTTCAATAAACTTCAAAATTAAAATAAATAAATAAGACAATAGTAATACATATGTACATAATTTAAAAATAATTCAATTAAGAATTTGAGTTTGAAAAACAAAATGACTCTATAAACTAACATGACGTAATAAAAAATAAAATAAAATATATAATTACAAAATAATTAAATATGATACGTATAATAAACTAACAAAAAATATATATTTTATAATAATTAAAATTAAAAGGGCAAAGTAATAAATAAGCATAGGAATCTTAAAATAAAAATAAAAAAATAAAGAAAAACAAACACCCCTTATAGTGACTCAGTCAAAGCCCGACCCTAACTAAGCAAGCTACTTTATTCAAAAGGTTCAAACAACAACTATGTTACATATGAACATATATTACATTGTAACTGAGTCAGTAGTACTAAAAAAAAAAAAAAAAAAACTATGTTACATAAGCCAAACATCAATCAAAAGTACATTATTACAAGAAAGTAGACAACATATGAGACATGCAACAGACAAAGTTAAAGATTGGGAAGACAAATGAGAAACATGATATATGCATGTAGGATGATGCAACAGAGAACACCAGAGCCAATTCCTCCATCCTTTTATTGCAAATGCCACTCTGGGCTGGCTAGCATGTACTGGCTCAAGTGTGTATAATACCCCATCAATATGCTTCATGTACTCTCTCCAGCAAGCTTCAATTCATCCTTGAACAATGATCTTCTCCAAAAATGGTGATACCATTTTAGCTCCTGCAGATTGGAAAGTTGAAACACAAATTGAAGATATGAAAGTGAATCTGAAATGTATCTTAACTAGGGAGTTTAGAGATGGTAAGGTTAAAAACTTCATGCTATTACCATGAGTAGAGAACTATAGGGAATTGCGCCGTCCAGAGATCTTAACAGCAGTTTCAGGACCACTAGAGGTCTCCTGGACTGAGTTCACCTCCCAGCAACCATCTTTCCAGTATGTATAATAAACCTCAGAAATGTGTGAAACTTTACAATAATCTTCACCTCGTTTATCTGGAAGGAACGTCGAGATGAAATCATCAGTCATATCGAAAAATTCAAGGTACCTCAGGTTGAAGAGACACTCGATTCCCGCAGGCACGCTTGCCAGCTGATTACATCTCTGAATAACCAGCTTCTCAAGATGTGGCATTGCACCCTCCCCAATCACCACATTTCTCAGCTCTTCTAACTTATCCAGATTCAACAGTCTTAGGCTTTGGAACTTCCCAGCATTGAAGTGCATATGTTCTCCAGTATAGCCCACAAGAAATTCAAGATGGACAAGATTAGGCAAATCTTGAAGATGTTCAAGCGGGTCATCCTTGAGTTTACTCCACCGGAAGTATATTTTGACCAGGTTACGAAGAGACTTTATCCAATGTGGCATCTTCCCCATGTATCCTGACAAGTAAAGGCGTTGAAGAAGAGGGGGAGGCGAAGAAAGGTAATTGACATCTAGGACCACATCCTCTTCTATTGATTTCAGATTCAACGATCGAAGTTTCAGGAGCTTCTCAATGGATGAGCACACAGCTTTACCATCTTCAGTTCTCAACTTCAGAATGCAGAGTCTCTTCAGCTCATTTAGTTTCCCTATTTCTTCTATTGTGCCATTACCAGGGTTAGCCTCAACATACACAAGTTTCTCTAAAGATCCCAACTTTCCTAACCCTTTTGGTGCCTTAAACCCTGGGGAACAATTATATGGTAGATATGCAAATGATACATGGGAATAGACTATAAGGTGTCGCAAATGTTGAAGCTTTAAGATCTCAACTGGCAGCTCAGTAACAAATGTATACTTGAGATCCAATATCTCTAGCATTCTGAGCTTCTTAATTGACCTTGGAAGCACTTTCACCTTTGTACTTCTCAAACTTAGATATCTTAAGTGAAGCAATTGGAAAATTTCTTCAGGAACTATTTCTAAAGAAGTGCTTTGTAAGTCCAAAACTTTGATAACCCTACAGCTACTAAGTATTTGAACGACGTGTGACGAGAACTGAGAATCTGTCACATTAAATGTAAGCAAAGATCGAAGTTTAGTTCCTTGCCTTTTCATTTGTGCATTGCCCAATGTGCCATGGACTGACAAGTGCCGGGCTTTCTCAGGCCATGCTGCAGTCTCTTCATCGATTGTGGTGACAAAATTGTGATCTGTTGATTTTGAAAGGATGATCTCTCGGTAAAGATCATGGATTCGACCCTGCTTCATGCTTCCATCATCGTTGAGCTTCACAGGAAGGATCAAGCTTCTATTTATGAGTTCAAAGAGATAGCCTTCTGCAACTTCTTCTACTGTCTTTCCCGCTTTTTGCTTCACAAAGCCCTCCATTGTCCACTGATAAATCAGAGAATTGTGCTCAATCAAATGATCTTCTGGATAGATGCTCAGATACATAAAACACAGTTTAAGATATTGAGGCAGATCATTGAAACTCAGAAGCAGAATAATTCTCAGGCTTTCAAATTGATCATTGCCTTCAAAATCCGGGCCAAGGCTGTGATAAAGGGCTCCCCATTCATTGATGTTGGTCTTGTTCTTGGTTGCCAAAACACCACCAATGGCCACAATTGCAAGAGGCAATCCCCCACATCTTTTCAAGATTTGCTTTAAAATCTCCGTTAAATGTGACGGGCATGAGCTCGCATGAAATGCCTTCCGGCACAAGAGGGCCCAAGACACTTCTTCAGACAAGGGTGTCATCTCATAAATATAGCCGTTTGTATCAGTGCTAGAAGAAGAAGCTACATCCATAAGACGTGTTGAAATCATGGCACGGCAGCCATGCTTTTCCTTAGGTAACACATGTTTAATAGCTTCCCAAACTCGAGCAGTCCAAACATCATCAAAGACAATAACATACTTCCTCCTTAACAGGAACTCTTTCACAATCACTTTCAGCTTGTTTGCATTCATTGAGCCCATTCCTTCCGGGACTGGTTGCTTTAGTTCTGCAAACAGCTGCTGAATCATGTCTTTCAAGACCTCTTCAACCTTGAATGTCTGAGAAACTGTTATCCAGGCATGGCTCTGGAAATGTTTCTTCACATCATCATATACCATTTTCACCAGAGTGGTTTTGCCAGAACCACCCATTCCGACTACAGAGATCACTTTGAGTGTAGGATCATCCTTCAGAAGCAAGCTAATTAGCTCTTTTCTGGGGTTTTCAATTCCCACAATCTCATCTTCCTCCAATAGAAGTGCATCACTTCGACGGTCATTTGCTATCTCATAAGCATGACTTGTACTCGAGACTTGGTCCGGGACATGATACCTGTAACGGTACCTCTGATGTCCCTCTGCAATGTTGCGCACCCTGGATTTGATGCTTTGGATTTCAGAAGCAACCCTTTGCTGTGATTTCAAGTTCCTAATGGAGAAAAAGAATCTCCACAGGAAGCCACAGAATCTACTAGACTGATGCTCAGCAGGTACGAGGAGCAAGAACTCATCAATGGTATCTTCAATGTCATATGCAACATCTCGGACTTGCTTAACCCAGACCTTGATCTCTGCATCAGCATCTTCCACAGTATCAGCAACTCCAAGGAAAGCTATCACCCTTTCCAGTTCATCCTTGATGTATTCAATTTCGTCCTTGAGCCCGTGCAGCAGTACCACTTTTGCCTCTAACAAGATTGTTATCTTGTCCAGCACAAAAACGACAGTACACTCTGCCATCTGTTCTGTATGTTCAAGATTGTATTTGTATGATTGTGCATAACCTGAAAGAGAGAGGTCCTCCATTTATACACGAGCAACACCTTTTACAAGTCTCCCAAGTCAACCCCTCAAGATTTAATATTTCGCAAGAGTAGTTGGAATTGGCTGGTATTAAATTTGAATTTGAGTTGCTACTTGACAATAAATTGACTTGCCAAAGACTTGCTACAGCATAGAAAATGACAAGGCTTCTAACATTTATTCCAGTTCAGCTCACTCTTGTTTAGCTTTAACAAGAAAAAAGAAATAACAATAGAAGCCTCAATGTATATGCTGCTCAAGTTAGATAAATCATATACGCATGAAAAGATGAATAGATCGAGATGAAGTGAGTAGCTGGAAATGGGGGAGGTAGCAGAAGAACGGGAGGAAAGAAACATGTGGATGGATATGAAAGATTACCTGTGAGCGTTCAGAGCCTGAGTGAAACCCCATCAATGAAAAACATACGAATTTTTAAGAAAATTCTGCAGGTCCGTGGCCTTACGAGACTATTTGGTTTAGGTCATTTTCAGCATGAGACATTGAAACCTACTCCCAGTCCCACTCAAGGTTTGTCCAATACATCAAGTTGTTTTGGAATGTTGATGCTGAGTCATTCTTGATGTATTGGAAAGTTGTAAGAAATTTCATTGATTGACACCATTATATATAAAAGACAAGCTCAATAACATAGACTAAATAGTGCTGTAGAATAAATAATACAAAGAATAATCTAGGCACACAAGAGGCCATTTCAGCTCAGGGTTTAGTGGGTATATAACTCAATTACAGAAGCACATTACACTAAGATGGAATCAAATGCCAAAGTCCAAAGTCATTCTTAATTCAAATGCAAAAGTCATTCTTAAATCAAATAATGATACATTAATAAAGTTGATTGCACCAAGTCTGGAATTCAATGCCTAAGTCATTTTTTATTCAAATAATGATAAGAAGAAACAAAATGTTGGCCTTTAGATCAAATGCACTGAAGCAAGAAAGAAAACAAAAAAAAAAAAACAAAAAAATCTTGAAAGACAATATCATCGTAACAATTAAATTAAATAATTATAATAAAAAAAACTTATAATTCAAATTTATAAACAGCAGAGACATTATGAAGGTCAAATGTGCCCTCTCATTTATGTAATATACTCATGGAAGAGAAATATGGTTAAATTATGAATCATTTGCAGATACAAGACAATCGCAATAATCCTTGAAATAGAACCAGTTAAATTGAAGTTTCACTAGCACAGTGCACAGTGACTGCATATCTACATCTCTTCAACAATACTGCAGGAACCCTAGGATTTACACTATTCTAACACCACATACCAGGAAAAGCAGCATAGTAAGCAAACACAAAACAGAACAGACTTCTACTCAACAGAAACTAAAATGAACCAGATTATCAAACCTCAGCTTAAGCCCTCTTGCCACAAATCCTCCTAGCCGGCCAGCTGAATATCCTTAGGCATAATGATGACTCTCTTGGCATGAATATTGCAAAGGTTCTCTGAAACCTAAGATCGGTCTTGAAATCCTGCGCGATTTCTCTAACCAGTCACTGGAACCGGCAGTTTTCGGATCAAAAGCTCAGTGGAGTTCTGGTACAGTGCATCAGTACAAATGATTCAAGAATCATTTTTCGATCAGCACAAGACTACAAATGTCAAGTTAGCATCATGAATCTAGTAAGCTGTTGTTGGTTGCTATGGTTTCTCAATTCAACTGACATTATAGTTGAGTGACTCTCTTTTCTCATCCTACCCTTCTCTAGGCCATGTTTCTAAAGGAGGCCTTTCATCAAACATCTTGGAGTCATTCCAGCAATTGAATAAACTAACATACCACACAATGACAGCATGCTATGCTAACTGATGCTAAGAGAATTCAGGAAACAAATAATATCGAAATTCTAGCTTCATTATTGTGATAGTCAAGCATTTTTCGCACTATTTACCCTACAGATGAGTGTATTATGTAATTCGTATCATCACATAAAAAAAAAAAAATTCAACACACTAATACTAAGGAGGTGTTTAGTTGTTAGATTAACTTATGGAATGTTAGGGTGTGTTTGGTTGGTGGGTTTTGCCCATAGGAATGGGTATGAAAGTGATTGTTGTTATTTGGTTAATAGGTTTTTAGAACACTACTATGGGTTTCGAATACTCATCAATTGAAAAACCCATACCCAAATACAATAAGGGGGCGTTTGGTTCAGGTTATATAACATAACCAAGGGAATGTGACATTCCAAACCTCACATTCCTATGTTTGGTTCAAATTATCTCAGGGAATCTAACATTCCTCAGGAATGTCACATTCCCTCCACATAGGATTTTGAAGGGAATGTGATTCCCTTCAATTTTTAAGGTTATGTAAGATAACCTTGGTTATGTTAGTTTATTACACACACACATATATATATAATTATTTTTGTAATTATATACTTTTTATTTTTATTATGTTAGGTTAGCATATAAAATAATTGTTTCTCAAGTTCAATATTTTAGTTAATATTTTAAAATCATGTAATTATATATGATACCGTTATCTTATTTATTTATTTTAATTTTTAAATTTATTTAAATATATCAAAATATGTTAAGGATATTATAGTGTGTGAATAAAAGATAACCCTAAACCAAACATGATTATATTACATACCCCAATTTTAACCAAACACAGGAATCTAACATTCCCAGTAATCTAACATTTCCAGTAATCTAACATTCCCAGCAATCTAACATTCTCTAGGGTAATCTGACATTCCTTGAACCAAACGACCCCTAAGGGTTTCATTCCCTTATTCATTCTTAACCACTACTATTAGTAACCATTCTCATTCCACCCTACTACCAAACATGTTAAATACTTTCACCAAAACTCATTACCATTACCAAGTATTTGATACCCATTCCGATTTCGATTCCTATGTGCGAACCAAACACACCCTTAGATTGCTGAGATATTAGATTATTTGCTATCTATGGTACCAGAACATATTCCAATCGTTATGCTACGGACCCGTGTCCAGCATGCATGCTGGACACGGTAACGGTGCCATTAGTGGCACCTTTATCTTTCATTTTTTTTTTTTTAAAGTGGAAGCAAAGTAGAAATTCCAAGTGATTATTGCCGTCATGTTCTATCAGGTTGTTGTATGGCAAATTATGCTATGCGCACGTGCGGACCTTGCAAGGTGCGCACGTCTCTAAAACGGCGTCATCTTCAGGGAAAACGACGCTGTCCTAACTAAAAAAAAAAAAAAAAAAATTGTTCGAAAGGCTGTTAACGGCGTTAATAGCGTATTCGTTATGAAATTATGAATGTACAGTTATGACATTATGAATGTACAGTTATAGAATTATGGATGTACAGTTACGGAATTATGAACATAGAGCTTCGAAAATTATGAATGTACAGTATGGAATTATGAATATACAGTATGGAATTATGAATGTACAATTATGGAATTATGAATGTACAGTTATTGAATTATGAATGTACAGTTATGAAATTATGAACACAGAACTCTGACATTATGAACATAGAGCTTCGAAAATTATGAATTTACAGTTATTGAATTATGAATGTACAGTTATGGAATTATGAATGTACAATTATGAAATTATGAACACAGAGCTGTGAATATATGCTCCTATAACGAAGCGGTCTGAAATTTAAAAAAAAAAAAAAAAAAGGAAGATAACGGTGCCACTGACGACACCGTTACCGTCCCCATGATGCACGTTGGGCACGAGTCCACAGCATAACGATTGGTTGTTGTATAGACCTCTAAAAGGAATACTGAAACCCCACCCCTGCCCGGCCCGGCCGGATCCATCATAATTCATTTTATTGAAACACTTAGGATCAAGTAGTATCTATTCTAATCTTTTTTCGACCTAAAGGATCAATGAATTGATCAACATCTTTTTTAGTACATTCATTATCTTAGATGATTGAGATTAAATGTTTCACATAATGAGAATACGTTACATTTCTATTTCGTGTTTAAAATTATTGTGATTTGAATGTTTCAAAGTGAAAATATGATGCATTTGAGTTGCTTTACTTTTCTATTTGAGCTTTCTGGGTATTGGTATTTATGTGGATATATAATAGCTCCAAATTTGTTGTTATTTGATGAATCTTAGTTCATCTGATCTGCTTAGTAAAGTAGCAATCTAGTATTCTTCCACATCATCTACTCTGCTTTGGTTATCAATAAGCTACTTTGTATATAAGCTATATGTTTACACAGAAGCATGCATGTATCTATTTGAAGTTTGAAGTTTGATATTCTTTTATTTTTATATCATTACTTTTTTATTTCTCAGCCTTTTGTCTAAAAATTCCTTACATGGATTTCTCTCTTTTTATTGCAGGATTGAGCAATGCTTCTTTTACAGGTTAGTGATATAAACACAAAATATTTATTTGTGCTAGCTTCCACTTAAATTTTACTTGAATGGAAGACATTTGGTTGTTTGTGTCCAGCTTTTTAAAGATGAAACTGAGGAATGCATTGGCCCTGTTTGGTAAAATGGCGGTTAGCTGATAGGTGTTTACTGTTAGCTGATTGTGTTAATTATAGGGTATAAATAGTTGATAACATTGACTGATTGTAGAAAAGTGTTTGGTAAATTAGCTGTTAGCTGATAGCTGTTTGGTATAATTTCCTTTCTCAAAGAGCTAATTGAAAAAGTTGCTTGTAGAAAAGTGTTTGGTAAATTAGCTGTTAGCTGATAGCTGTTTGGTATAATTTCCTTTCTCAAAGAGCTAATTGAAAAAGTTGCTTGGAGTAGCCTTTTGAATTTTAGCCTTTTGGAGTTGCAAAAAGTTAATTAACCAAACATTTATATTGATATTTTAACTAAATCAAACAATTAATAATGGTCAAATAAGCCAAAATTAGCCCATAGGCCAATTTTTTACCAAACAGGGCGAATATGATTTTACTTCTGCACTTGCT